CTCCCCCTCCCTCCCCACCCATCCCTCACTCCCCCACCTCCTCAATCTCATATTCCCTCCTGGGAATTTACTCCCTTCCTCCCCTGGAGGCTCAGGAATCAGGGACCACTTGGCTGCTGATACTCCTTATGAACTCTTCCTCCTCCCTCTGAGACTTGTAAGAAAGGACCTACGCTATCCCCAGAGGACTACCTCTTCTCATACTGCACACTAAGCTGCTGTCTGTCTGTCTGTCTGTTTATGGTGTTGACAAGGCTTCTAATAAAGCTCTAAGCCAACTCTGAACCCTTTTAGCACTGCACTGTCAAGGGGCACAGTGGCCCTATGGGTACTCACTTCTCTTGGTAAACAAGCCCCCAGGACTCTCAAAGGCAGAAGCGCGGAAATACACTTTCCAGGAGGTTGTGGCTTCCAAGGAGATCAGCACGCATGCTATTATCACATAAACATCTGATTTTGAAACATTTTTTCAACTCTGGGAGTCTTGCTTGATTCTCTCAAGAGCCTGAGTTTTGGGTAACAACCTAACAGCCTGGTGACCGTCGGGTATATCCTGTAGAAGACACTAACAGAACCCTGGCTTCCAACCAACCAAAGCGCTGAAGATGCGGTCAGGGAGCTCCCGAGGTGGCACGGCAACATTCTTAGTTCTGCCTCAACCATCGATTTCGTGTCTCCACCGACGTGTTTGCAAAGTGCCTTGATTTATGCCTCTCCTTGCTCTGTTACTATAAAAACTTCATCAAACTGTCACCACGTTTGAACATGGAGATTGGAGTGACCCGAATCTGTGTTCCGGGGCCACGGTAACTATTTCTGTTTAACCCTAGAATGAGCTCTTCTCCACTGTCAGGTGACAGCTGTGTTTTTTTTTTTTTTTTTTTTCTGCCTTGAAAACTAGAAAGCTGAGATGAAATCAGGCCTGGGGCTTTCGTCCACTGGGTCAGAGCCAAAAGTCCAGAATTACCTGACCCTAGCTCTGGGTCATGGTCACTCACATTTGGCTCCAGAGTAAACTCCCTCTGTGAGGCGAGAGCTATGACTTTGCACTAATACTCATGTGCCAGTTAAAGAAACAAGCAATACCGAAAAGCAGAGAAAGGCGTGTGGCCACATGAAGGCATGGAATAAAGTGGTCAGTGGGCCCCAAACTCCAACTTTGAGGATTACCCTGGGACGTTTAGGTATAAATTGAGGCCACGAGATACAGTTAACTAAGCAGTACTGTCCAAGTTCAGCTTACTCTATCATCGCCTGGGCTCCAAGCCCCAAGGTCGGAGTTGTCGAAACTGTGTGAAATTCTCCTCCCAGGAGAAGAGCGCCCCCTCTGGCTGCACCAAACTTCATCATCTCCCTTCTCCCAGGGTGAGATGCCTGGGAAAATTCCAGTTTCTTGTGGTCTATCATCTCAATAGTCTGATAAGCCAAGAGTGGAGCAGGAGTATCTCTTTGAATGGCCTCACCCCTGCCAAGATAGTCCTTAGAAATGCTGTAATAAGTGTCTATAGAAAAACATTAATAATAATAATAATAATTCAGGAATAGGAATGTATTATTCAGAATGATAGGTTTTGATAGCACTTTACAGTGTTTTACTGGTTTTGAGCGAACATTCTGGCTGTGCAGCAACTTCTTCTGAATTGAACCCTCCCACCCCAGGAAGGAGTCCAAAGGTTCATGGGACTCAGGAAGTAAACAAACCACAAGTCTCAAAAGCTGAAACTCCCAGGTTTTAAGATGCCCCTCAGCAGTGTTCCAGAAGTAGAAAGCGGCTGCTGGGGTGGAGGGCTCTGACCAGTGCCATGGGAGTTGTAAAGAGAAGCTTCTTGGGCCCCCACCCTAGCCCCGGAAGCTGCACAGAGCGCACCAGGTTCACAGCTTCCAGGAGTCTCATCCATGCAGGAGGGGGCTGTCAGTGAGCCCCTGCCCTCAAGTTACCCATGCTCCCGTAAGTAACCCCTCACCTGCTCTCCCATAGGAACCTCAATAAACTCAGTGGCTCACCAAGCTAGAGATGCCGGTGTGGTGTTTATTTTGATCTATTGTGGGTTCCTGGAGTGGGGAAGTGAGAATATGTGTGTTCACAGCGACCCAGGAAAAATTCACGCAGCAATGCCTCTCTGGGGGAGTCCTCATCAAATACACAAACTAAATGAGTCATGCCAGGACAAAAACACAGCCCTCACCTCTAACGGGAGAAGAGTTTCTTCTGGAACCAAATGGAGTGACCGTGGCCCAGAAATAAATTTAGGTCACCCCAAATTCTGTGTTCCAACATGAGAAAATTTTAATGAGAAGTCTTCAGCGTAAGAAAAAAGTCATAAAAGTCATAAACCCAGGTGTTTCTCAGGCACTTTGATGGGGTTATGAAGCTGATGGCTAAGCAAAACAGGGAGGCTATTGTTGCCTCCGATGTATCACATGACAAACTCAGCTTTCTGATTAGTGGAAACTAGGGTCTGATAATACATCCCCAAAGGTTTCACCTGATCATAACAAGGATATTAAATCAGACACAGATATAGGAGAAGGGGAGCTCAATTTTAATTAGGTTCTGGATCTGCAACATCCCAACCTCCCCGACAACCTCTGAAGTTCTAATCGGCTAGTTACTGGACCTGGCAGGAGGTTCAGCTGGTTGTGCGGCTCCTTTCTAGAAACCTTGGCTCACAGCAACATCCTAGGAAATTTGTCAGGCTTTTAAAAAAAAAAAAAAAAAACATTCTTCATTTCCAATCCAAATAAACAAGCTCCCTCAGATTCCACCGCCCACTGCTAGGACTCGTGAAAAATGAAGGCCCAGACTTGTGTTACAGATTGCTTCTCCGGTACATGAAAGATTAATCAATACTACAGGCAGGGTAGTCAGCAAAACGAGGAGCCTGGAATGCTCAGAACAGCGATGCATATTAATTGAGTCTGAAGGTCCTCAGCCTCTGCCAACTGAGAAATGAAATGTCTGTGGTTTGTCTCTCAGAGTCAGAAGATAAATATGAGGACAATGATCATGTGCTCGTCCCTACCTGGACATCGAGGTAAGAGATGAACGAGGAATGAGTGTGTGTGTGTGTGTGTGTGTGTGTGTGTGTGTGTGTGTGTGTGTACTCACAGGCAGAAGGCACATGCACACAGCCCAAGTTGACGTTGGGTGAATTCATCAATCTCCTCACGTTACTCTTTGAGACAGCCATCTCTCATTAAACATGGAGCTCATTGGTTGTTTAGACAGACTGGGCAGTGAGCCTCAGAGATTTGTCTATCTCTGCATATCAGATATTTCCATCATGATTCATAACAGTAGCAAAATTACAGTTATGAAGTAGCAATGGAATAACTTTATGGTTGTGGGGGCTGGGTCACCATCACATGAGGAACTGCATTAAAGGGTCCCAGCATTAAGAAGTTTGAGAACCACTGGTCTAGAGCTTGGTGGCCCAAGTGTGTAAAACTCCTTGGGGCAGTATGAGTGGCATTTGCCTTTATCCTGGAATCCTGGCACTTGAGAAGTCTGTGAGGGCATGAGATTTGCAGACGGGCTCTGGGTAGGGACTTGGATTTCATTCATAACAGCTGGAAGAAAAATCAGCTGCAGGTGGGTGTGGCCTGACTAGCCTGTAGCTTGGAACCTAACAGATTGTGAGTCAAGACCGTGGGATTCTAGTTCCAAACCTACCCTGCTCATCTAAAGCACAAAGAGGTAAGCTGGTTGATATGGAATAAAAGGGTGAGCAGCAGATGGACGCTGGGGCTGGCTCCTCCATTTATAGCTCATTGTATTTGAGCGAAGAAAGAGCACCTATTGCCTGGTGATTAGGGGCTAGAAGAACACAATACAATTAGCATAATTCTTTTCATTAACCATAATCTCATTAATAAGCCTCCTTTCTAAATTGAGTAGTTTCAAAACCTGTTTATATTCCCTGTACATAGGCCAATTCTTCACAACAAAAAGATTCAGCCTTAAAAGCAGGCCTGAAATTTCAGTTCACACTGAAATTCAAAGATACCCACCCCTCGTGTTACAACTTGATCCCAATTGAAAGAAAGTCGAAGAATTTATTCTCAGTGTAGTCCATACAATTCTTGCCTACTTAAGCCGTATATAACGGCATCAATTGAATAAAAGAAAAGAATCGCATTAGGGATACTTGTTAAAAAAAATGGCATCAAGGAAGAATTTCCTGCCTGTGGCTATGATAAGGAGAGTGAGCTGAGGCCCAAGTAGGTCCTAGCCAGCAAGAGTTATAGCCAGCATCAGGGGGAGGGAAGAGATGGGAAAGTTGGTGGTGTTTCCGAGCAGAGAGACCTGATTCCATAGAGGCTGAAGGAAAGGCATTTGGAGGGTGTCAGTGCAGAAGGGACTCTGTAAACACCTCAGCAGGATTCTTTGCTGTAACTAGATTTAGCAGGTGGAAGAAGCCAAGGAGAGTCCTCACTGATACAAAAGCTCCAACTCAATTGAGTAAAATCTGGTGCAGAGGCCATTCCTTGTTTGTGGCCAGTCCAGAAGTCAAGGAGGGTCCAGGAGGGCCCTGTGACAGACAAAGTACATGGCCAAGATATGAAGTGCCAGGCCCTAGAAGATAACACTGAAAAAAGTTGGGGTTTCTCTGAAATTCTCTCCATCATCCTTATTCCTTCTAGAAGTTTTCCATGTCCATATTTCTTTTCCTTATGCATCTCAGGATTCCTACCAGGCAGAGATCCTCCGAGAAACACAATAGGCATGATGGACAGGTGAATGGATGGCCCACAGAAGGATGGGCAGGTGTGTGGATAGATGGTAGATAGCTAAGTAGATGATTAATACATAGGTAGATGACAAGTGATAGAGATGATAGATAGATAGATAGATAGATAGATAGATAGATAGATAGATAGATAGATACATACATACATACATACATACAATAGATATATAGATGATAGATAGATAGACAGACAGATACATACATACAATAGATAGATAGATAGATAGATAGATAGATAGATAGATAGATAGATAGATAGATAGATAGAGGACCCACAGACAGAAATTGGCTCATATGACTAATCCAATTGGAAGCTAAGAAGTCTCAAACTTTGTTATCTGCAAGTTGAAAACCCAGAAAGTTGAATTAAAAACTCTAGTCTGACTCTTAAGGCTGGAGAATCAATAAAGCTGATGCTTGAGGCTTAAAAACTTTGTGGCATGAGTTCTAGTTATAAGGAGAAGAAAAATGTATGTCCCATTCAAGCTGTTATGTGGGAATTCCCCCTCCTGCTCAGACTTTGTGCACTATTCTGGTTCTCTACTACCTAGAGGAGCCATATTAGCTAGCCAAGGTGATGTGTTTTACTCATTCTAGATTCAGTGCTAATCTGATCCACACCTTCTCAGATACACCCAGAGAGAAGGTTGACCACTTGTCTAGAATCCTTTTCTTCTAGAAGTTTGTTTTCTATAGAATTAACATAATTTATTCTTGGTCTGAATAATATGCTTTTTCCATTTTTAACCTCTGACATGTCATTATAATCACCCTCCACATTGAGAACTTGAATATCTGTCTCAAAAATCACTTTGGAAAGATTAAACAGACGTGGTCTTTGGCTTACAATGGGTTAGGTCTCAATAAACCTATCAGAAGTTGAAAATGCCTTAATGTAGCTAGGCTGCCACAAATTCTACTTGTAATGGTTAATCTTGATTATCGATTCATTAGACCTGGAATCAACTAGATTTCTAGAAAGCTTTGACAGAGGGAGAAAACCTCACAAAGGGCGGGCCCTTTCTGACTAAAAAAAAAAAAAAAAAAAAAAAAAGAATGATAATGTCCAAGGGAAAAACAACATTGCTTGGTATAGGAATGTAACTTTAGAACCCAGCTTCTTCTCATGCCTCCCTTCACAGATGCCCACAGTTGCCCTGCTAGGACATTGAGGATTCTCTTGCTGGTGCCACTGACATCTCACTGGGAAGTGAGTTTACACCAAAGGGGTGTTTCCCACTTGTCCCACACTTTCTTTCCTGCTTCCTCCCCCTGCCTGAGAATCAGAGAGCCTAGGTACAGGATCCTTCTATGAACCCTATCCCCATCAGCAAAAGCATTTCAATATCTCCCTCCACTACCATATGGGCTTGGCTGGCCTTGCTATGCCACCTGTCTCTGGTGCTGGAGCCTCTCCTCAAAGCCCTCTCCACACGGTTTCTGTGTCTGTCTGCCTATGGTGCTAAGAACTCTTCTAATTAACACCTTATTAGAATTAATCCTAATTCTAATTCCTCAGTTTACAATGAGCTCCATCCCAATAAACCCATCAGAAATTGAAAATGCCTTATACATCTAACCTGCCTTGCATCATACTTGTAATGGTTAATCTTTATTGTTAATTTGATTAATCAAACAAATTAAATCATCTCAGTGTCCTCTTGAACTTCCTGCCTTATCCAGAACCTAACATTTGGTCTGCCTGTTCCTTAGTGGTCAGTGCATCTATTCTATTGCTGTTGCTGCTGTCACCACCACCCAGTTTCTTCGGCCTTCCAGCCTGGGTTGAAGACAACCAGCATTTCTCCAGGACTCTCTCGGGCCTCCAGCATCAGATAAGGACCACTGACCTGTCAGGCTTTGTAGACTAATACACTCCCTGGTTCTCAGCTTTTTGCTAGTGAGGACAGTTTACTAAATGCCTTTTTAGAGTATGTATTCATCCTTTAGGCTCTGCTCCTCTAGAGAACCCTACCTAATAAAATAATCTGGGACCATAGATCACTGTGGCCCATTGGTAGTTTGCCATGTGGTCACATGACTGACAGGAACTATAGTTTACCACTGGAGAAGGACCTTAGCAAATATCACTATCCCAAAATTGCATCAGAATCTTAGCAAATATCACTATCCCAAAATTGCATCAGAATCAAACTCGTTTCTGTAGAATTGGAACAAGTTTGTACCACTGGAAAAATGAAAATTTGGACCATCGACACATGTAATTTATGAGCACTAATGGATTAAATTATAAAAAAAATTTCCTGCACTCACAAGACATGTTTTGTTCACTCAGGATTATGTATTGAATGACTCTGGGTTTATCGCCCCCTCCCAGCAATGAAGTAAAGAGAGGTGGACCTATTAACGTAGAATTTGGTTGTTTGCAGAAGAGGATAGAAGCTAGAAGGGATCATATAGAGTGGAATGCATAACTTATGATGGCTGATGCAAGGTGCCGGTTACTTGACCATAAAATAGAAATCCGATGAACCAGCGAGCACTGCCTTAGCAGAAGTGTTTCCCAATGCGGAATCATTTAGAATCATCACTCTGTAAAGTATGTGCCCATGGTAACTAGTGGAAATATCTAACATAGTACAGTGATTCAACTTGTTGGCAATCAGGTTCCCACATGGCGTATTTCCAGTGAACATGGCTTCCACACCAGCTTGCATCTAACAGGATATAGCAAAGATAATGGGAGACCACTTCCTGGTTAAGTTAACAAAAAATTGGTTGGTTGGTTCTCTCCTCTCCTGAGCATGCTGCCCATCCTTCCGTTCCTCCCTCCCTCCCTTTCTCTCTCCCTTCTTCCCTCCCTCTTCTCTTCCCCTCTTTTTCTCCTCCCCTTTCTTTTTCTTTTCAGAATTTCATACAATATATTTTGATTATATTCTTTCCTCTTCCCCAATCTTCCCAGATCTTCTCTACTCCCACCTAACTGCAAGTTCTTTCTCTCTCTCTCAAAAAACAAAACCAAAATAAAACAAATGAGAAAATAAAGTCCACCAACCCCCATGTATGCATGCACTCCACAAACACACACACACACACACACACACACACACATAAATACAATCATGGAGTCAGGTTTGTATTGTCTAACTACTCTTGAGTATGTGGGAGGGGGCAGCATGGAGGACAAAACAAAACTGATTTTCCTTCTCCCAGCAAATGCTTTCTTGAATAGGGGTAAGACTTTGCACCTACTTCTCCTTCTCTGTGTTGGGATTTTGTCTGGCTCGAACCTGTGCAGGCCCTATGCATGCTGTCACAGTCTC